AACCATAATCCTCTATGATCACAGTTTGCCTTGTTTACTTAATGACACAGAGCAAAGCTTAAACAGCTGAAAGAACCATGTTCTTTCATCTCCTTTTCTCTAATATCCACATGACATGGTAACTTAAAGGACACAACTGAAAATGTCTCACTTTTATCTAACAGAACTAAACTCCCTAACTGCCTGGAGTGTTTCTGCAAAATTTCTGAATAGATTGTCCTGTTTCCTGCAAGCTGCTGTGTCAAAGATACACACCCAAACCAAGGAAATCATACATGCATAGCAGAAGTCTCTAAGTTGTATTGCAGAAGTCCCTGATATCCTCCCACCAGACGCTTAATGCTCTTAAGACCCAGAAAACAAGTGATGCTCTCTTAGCCCCATATCCAGAAATAGCAGCAGCTCTATATTTGTGGTACTATTAACCATCCTAATACAGGATGTGGTGAAGAGTATGCATGTTAGCTTCTCCAGAGACATTATCAGTAAAGCAGAGACTCTGACGATAGACAAAGTACTGTCAAATTCAGCAAACAACTAATAATATTGGGAGAAACCTATTTCCTCAGTCTTGTTTCTCTTTTAGTATCTTATGATACTAAAAGAGAACTAGTGGGTACAAAATGTTCAGATGAGCTTTTAAGTTCAGAGTCCCATTAAAAACTGCCTAGTAACACTTTGGCTAAGAGATGTAATGGAAAAATTTCAACAAAATCTGCAGATCCATGAAGTTTTAATTAAAACTAGAAATTCAAATGTTAGTATCTGATGAAAAATCATATCATTTGATTTTCATTCCTGTTGTGAAAAGTTAGAAGAAAAACGGGCTTTTAAAGAGTGATTCTAATACATTAAAAATTCCTCTGCTTGATGGGTCTATGTTAAATGAGTTTTGTGGATTCAGTTTAGTCCTAAGTAGATCAGAGTCCAAATCACAAAACCATCACTACAAAATTGTCATCCTAGTAGACAGTGAATGAGCATGGAAACTGAACTGAAGGTGGTCCTTCCGATCAGAGTTGAGGCCCATTGGCAAAGCAGTCTAGAGAAGCATGCACTGTTGCTGCCCAGACTTACGTATGCATAGAAGATGTTTCTCTAGACCTGCCAGCCTGACATTTTTCACTCTGGTGTTCTTTACTTGATTTCCCCAACTTGCAATCTCTTTCACTTTTGATTTGGATCACAGGCTCATGCCTTTGACCTCATTTTACCCTAGTTTATTTTTGGTCAATGAAAGAAGTGGCCTCATAGAAATGTAGGGCTGCAAGAAGCCTTATGAAGTCATCTAGTCCATCCCCCCAAGCTAATACAGAACCAAGGAAATTTAAAAATCATCCCTGACAGGTGTTTGTGTAGCCTGGTCTTTAATACCTCCTGTGACAGTGATGTCACAATCTCCGTTAATAACCTAACCACTACGTAACCACAATTAAATAAAAGTCTAATTGGTGCCTTTCACCAGCACTAAATTCGTTTGGGAAAAAATTAAAAGAATGAGCAAAAATCTCAGCATGCATTTTGAAATTGGGCATATGGGGCCCACACAGAACTTAGCAGGAAAATGGTTAAAATCTACCAATAAAGCACTGAGTTGTAGCAGATGTCTTTGTTCTCAACATAGGGACAGAAAAGGAATGCAGATTTAGAGGAAAGTTGCTAGGTCACTCCATTAGGGAGAAAACATTGGTAATAACATAATCAAGTTCTACCTTCAAATGTATGTCCAACCCCTGGTAACTTCTCCAAAGGAATACCCAGTGCTGAAGTATCTAAGAAGGGAGAGCTTTAGGAAGTCAAACCCTGCAGAGTTTGCATTAAAGGAAAGGAGAGTTTCTGAGACTGCTATGTTATGGACATTGTATGTGACTGCCACAAACTTCAATAAAGACCAATTTAGACTTTGTTCTAGGTGTGCTACAAGTATAGTCTGCCAGCCACAGAGCCTGGAAGGGACAGTTTTATTATTATTCAGAATTTATATTATGGGAAACTTATATTTTTGGATTCTGGGAATAAGAGACCCAAAAGAGACATTTAAACTCATAGTCTTGCTTCATTTGATTACCTCGTTGTCCGGGGACACAAAGCCAGCTAAACTAACTCATATTTTCTACTATAAATGGCAACATTTCACCCTCTTGAGATGCCACAAGGCAAAATGACTGTTAATAATACTTCTATTGGAACTGACACTGAACAATGGACTCCACTGTGGAATAAAGAAGGAAGGGGGATGTGGAAATATACCTCTGATACACTGACTGACTTACTCTGTAAATACAAAGCAAAGTAATACCACAACAGACTTCCTCAGTTTGACAAAAAATTACTTGGAAGATAACCTACCAGAAACATAGAGCAATTTGCCCCACCATTTTCAAATAAATCTGACCAAGGATTATCAATCTCCTTCCTTCTATCTCATTGAAGATTAGACTCTTCCAGTATTTAGAATACTTAAAAGTAAATGTTTCTCTAGTAAAATATTTTTTTTACATTTGAACATAATGGCCATGCTGAGTCATACAATGATCCATCTAGCCAAAGATCCTGACTTTTGAATATGTTTAATGCCAGATGCTTCAGAGGGAAAGAACAGAACAGACAATCAAGTGATTCATCCCTTCCCAATGTCTGAAAAATCTAAAGGTTCTTAATATTCTGTTAGCTTTTTTGACTGCCTCTGCACATTGCGCAGCTGTTTTCAGAAGCTATCCACAAGACTCTAAGATCTCTTTCTTGAGTGGTAACTGCTAATAGATCCCATGATTTTGTTTGGATACTTGGAATTATGTTTTTCAGTGTGTATTACTTTGCATTTATTAACAATGAATTTCATCTGCCATTTTGTGATGCAGTCATCGAGTTTATTGAGATCAGTTTGTTACTCTTCATAACTTGATTAGAACGGAATATGTTGAGTAATTTATGTATAATCTGCAAAGGTTTTATCTGATTCCAGAGACTCCTGTAGGACATCACTATTTTCCTCTCTCCATTCTGAAAACTGATCATTTAGTCCTATCCTTGCTTTTTTTGTCATAACCAATTATTGATCCATAAGATTACCTTCCCTTCTTATACCATGGTTGTTTACTTTGCTTAAGAGCTTTTTGTGAGGGACTCTGAGATTTCCAAAAAAACCTTTGACAAAGTACACTGTGAACACTGGATCCTCCTTGTCCACATGTTTCTTGACACCCTCAGAGAACTCTAATAGATTGGTGAGGCATGATTTCCCTTTACAGAGCTATGTAGATGAATCCCCACAAAATGTATTCCTCTGTGTGTCTATTAATTCTGTCCTTTACCATAGTTTTAGCTAATTTTCTTGGTACTAAAATTAGGCTTATCAACCTGATAATATCAGGATCAACTCTGGAGCCATTTTTTTTTATATAAACTGATGTCACATTAGCTATTGTATAGTTCTATAGCAAAGAAGTTGATGGGTTCCACAATTAGCAGTTCTGCAATTTCATATTTGATTTCCTTTAGAACTTTTGGGTGAATACCATCTGGTTCTAGTGACTTATATACTACATCATTTATTAATTTGTTCTCAAATCTTCTCTTAATGACACCTCAGTTCCTCAAATTTATCACCTAAAAAGAATGGTTCAGGTGTGGGAATCTCCCTCAGATGTTCTGCAGTGAAGAATTAATATGGTCTCTTGGCACTGGCGTTGTCTTCTCTTGAGTGTACCTTTAACACCTCAATTGTCCAATTACTGTTTAGCTTCTGATGTACTTAATGGTTTTTGGTTTGTTTTTGAGTCTTTTGCTAGTTGTTGTTTTGAGGTTTTTTTTGGTTGTTCTTTTTTGTTTTGGGTTTTTTTTGCTTGCCTGCCTAATTATACTTTTACACCTGACTTCCTAGAGTTCACACTCCTATTTTTCTCAGTAGGATTTAATTTCCAACTGGATGCTCTTTTGCCTCTAACCACTTCTTTTACTTTGTTTTGTTGTTGAGCCGTCATGGCACTTTTGGTCCTTTTACTATATTTTGTTATTTGGGTTATATACTTAATCTGAACCCTTTTAAACAATTTCCATGCTGCTTGCAGGCATTTCACTTTTGGACTGTATCTTTTAATTTCCATTTAAATAGCTTTCCCATTTTTGTTTAATTCCCCCTTTTTAATCTCCAAATAAGAAGAAATAATGTTTCTCTGAGCAACTAGCAATGAGAAGCCAACCTCCCACTGCGTTTACTAAAAGATTCCATTCATGGTTTAAAAAAAAAAAAACGGTCTCAGGGGTCTATGATTTAATTATGTGGAATACAGAGAGTCTGAACAGAACAGCCAAATGTGTTTGGGCATAAGATTTATCTGTGAACTTTAAAGTAGATAAACAGATGGAAACAGACAACTCTACAAAAATGATGATTTCTTCCTTCCAAATATTAATTAACTCAATATTGTGTGACACTAGATCTGATGCCCACACAAACAAGGAAAGTCATTATTTATATCGCTCAGATGTAAAAAACAAAACAAGAAAACTGTTTTAGTGCTCATGGGTTTGGCAGCATTCTGGGCTTGGAGTTAGCAAATGGATGGTTGAAGCAGTTTAAATGGGAAACGGTGGGCTTAGTTATTGTAAATCAGTAAGCTCTATGAACTTAGCTGGTTTACACCCGTCAAGGAGGTTGATCTTAGCTTAATAAAGAAGCCCCATTGCCTAAAACAGTTCTAAACAACTTTTCTATAGATCAAGTGGGTATTTTGCCTAGTGTATTTTTTTGTTATGAGCAATAAGTGATGAAGAGCTGGATTTAAAAAAAAAAAGATGTTTAGAAAGTTATTTTGAATTCTTGCTTAAGACTTTGGACTTCGAGGATTTTCAATCAATACAGCATCGCCTAATGGTTAAAAGACAACAGTACTATCTCCCGTGACACAAAAAGATCGCACTGGATAAATCATTCTGGTGAGGTGGGATATGTTTCTGTAGCATTAGGGTAGTGATATATCATAGGGACAAGTACTCACATTACAATTGGAAGATCCTTCAAAAGTGGGACATGAGCCGTCAGGCCAATCTGTAGAGTCTATAACGCCTGACTGCCTGTGCTGGGCCTCATATTCCTTCAACTGAAATGAAGGAACAAAGAAATGTTAGTCAATGTATGCTAAATGATCAGATCTGCATAAACTCATTGACCAGAAATGTATAGCCACTTTCAGTTTCTGTCCATACTGTTGTAAAGATGGGAAAAACAGAACTTCTCCAGTGCATTTCTCTTTTTAACCTTGAATTACATTAAAATGGAAAAAAAAGTTGATGAAATGGCACAAAAAACCAAAAGGAGGAAGTGATCTGGAAACATGAGAATGTTCCCCTAGCAAATTTGGAAATTTCAAATTTCAGTAACCATTTGTATGCACAATGAATGTATATAAACATGTAGCCATCAAAATCCTGGTTTGAAAATTAGGTATTCAAAGATTCTCAGTTCCCAGTTTATAATCCTGATTAAAGCCCACTCACATCAGTGGATAGACTTATTGACTTCAAAGGGTTTTCTATCAAGATTTAAATTTACTAAGGAAAACCAGATAAAATCACTCAGGTATATTTTATTGCTAATAATTTGGGCCACTAGAGGGAAGCAATGAAACCACAAGTAGACTGCTTATTATAGTTTATTACTACACATAAAAAACAATGAAAGGGCAAAGAATGAATTGCAGAGAAAAAAAATTGTTAGTGTTAAGGTTACAGTAGCAATCTGAACAATTTTTTAATTATCTGACATCAGACATATTAGCAAATGGGACATATTATTCACCAAACAACATACAGTGCACAAGGTGACTTGAGTAATATCTTTTATTAGACCAACTTCTGTTGGGGAAAGAGAAAAGCTTTAGAGATTTAAAGAGCTCTCTTCAAACTCTGGGGAAGGTAACCAGAGTGTCTCAGGCAATGTCTACTCTACCAAGATATGCTGATCTAAGTTACATCAATATACAGCTACTGCAGTTCATACATTACCAGCACATGATTGTGTTGGCAGTGCATGTGCTCTCCAGGAGTACTTGTGGCAGTGGACAACATGATGCACCATGGGTACATATCCCACATGCCACCCACAGACATTCAGTGCAGCTCTTTTTGGGAAGTTTTTGTAATGCCAGGTGAAGGCAATCAGTGCATTGGATGATATGCAGCTCAGGCATGCACAAGACCCATGGATTTTGAAAGGTGTGTTGTGGGGGATTTTGATCACTGAGCAGTGTAGGGAGGTCAGCAGCTTTTGCATCTGTGGTTATAGCAGGCTTCCCCAGTGCAGTTTCAGCAGCGGCTGACTTGGGGACGCCTGGGGCAGAGCAGATGGGGTGCTGCTGGGTTGGTCCAGTAACGCCGCTCCTCGGCGCTACTGGACCAACCCAGCAGCACCCCATCTGCTCTGCCCCAGGCGTCCCCAAGTCAGCCGCTGCTGAAACTGCACTGGGGAAGCCTGCTATAACCACAGATGCAAAAGCTGCTGACCTCCCTACACTGCTCAGTGATCAAAATCCCCCACAACACACCTTTCAAAATCCATGGGTCTTGTGCATGCCTGAGCTGCATATCATCCAATGCACTGATTGCCTTCACCTGGCATTACAAACCGGAGGACGCGGGCGGCAGGACCTCGGCGCGTCTGGGTGGTCCCGCCGCCCGCGTCTTCTGGGGCTAGAAAATCCCCGTTCGTAAGTACGGATCCGTAAGTCGGATCCGCGTAACTCGGGGACTACCTGTAATGTAAATGAGCGTCATTTTTTGCTTAATTCCACATTCATCCATAACCCAAATTGCACGTACCTAATAGTTGGTGCTGCAGCATGCATGTCGTCTGATCATGCGTTTGCGCAAAGGGACTTTATTGCTGTGGCAAACTCAACACGGAGTTTCTTGGCTCTTAAGCAAATGTCAGCATTAATGCTATATTAATAATCTATATTCCACTTCTTGTGCTTTTATGTCTTAAAAATTGCAAAGAAAAGCTCATGTCAGGCAGTGCATTTTGTGGGGGAAAAAACCCGCATCTGTCTTTATTTTAGAGGCAAGTCCCCAAAAATTGCTGAGGAGATTTTCATTAAACTTTATGGGCTGTCTGGAGCAGAGCTAGTGTAGGTATGTCTTCTTGAACTGGGAATTATACACCTGCATCAAAATGTATGCATAGCGATGAGCAGCAGCATAATAGTTGATGTTTACGCACATTCTAGCACAGGGGTGGGCCACATCCAACCTTAGCACTTCCTCTGGGGAGCAGAACCTAGGGCTTGCCCTAGTCAGTGCATGCCACGGCTCTGTGTGGCTCCCATAGCAGCGGCCTGGCCCCATGCAACATCCCCACAACTCTGATCGGCTGGGAACTGCAGCCTGTGGGAGCTACAGGGGTACCTCCAGCACACAGGCAGCGCAAACTTCCACCTGGCCGACTGGAAGGGGGACATGCTACTGCTTCTGGGAGTTGCTTGAGGAGATCAGCGCAACCTGCTCTCTTGAGCCCTGCCTCATCCCAATCTCCTCCCCTAGCCCTGATCATTGTCTTGCCTTCTGAATCCCTCAGCCCTAGCCCCCTTAAGCACCCAAATCCTTCTTCCCCAGCCACACCCTAGCAGATCCCTCACCCCACCCACAAACTTGCACTTCAATCCGCTGCCCCAGCCCAGAGCTCCCTCCACTCCTCCAAATCCCTCAGTCCCAGCCCTGAGTCACCTCCTGTCCCCCAAACCTTCTGCCCAGCTTGATCACAGAGCCTGCACCCTCCAAGCCAGAGCCCTCACCTCTTTTCGCACCCCAGACCCAATTTAATGAAAATTCATGGACTTGCATACAATTACCATACCCTGATGTAACCTTCAGGCCAAAAAGTTTACCCAACCTGTCCTAGCAAGGACAGATAAAAACTGTAACACCTGACACAGACAACATGCAATACAGAAAGTCATCCTACTGTGGGAACATCAAATGAAATCTTATACTTATTTGTAAGGAGTCAACTGAAGCAAGATGTAAGACGCGTATTTACTCTGCGAGCCTGAACGTGGTAATTAAGAATTAACTAATTTGGGCTTGGTCAGCACTCCGAAGAAGGAACTTCAACATGAAAAGGTTTTTCAGAAACATGCCCTGAAAGGCTGCATCCTATCTTCCAACAAGGAATCAAGCTCCTGCAGCTCAAAGAGCCTGAATGCTTTTGAAATATTCTAACTTCACGTGAGTGCTAATTAGAACATACTGATTTCAAGATGCCTGGATATATCTATGCTGTTTCCATTTATTATATGATAAAAGTATTCATTTTATTATTTCATAAAACACTGCAGAGTCTACATTACATTATGTATACCTTACAATGAATGCACAGCTTCTCCCACAGGCAAATACAAGAGATCCCTTGCACAAGGAAATCACAGTCTCCTGGGGTATTCACCGTACAAGAACTACAGGAGCATAGCTGCAGCTATGCTGCTATAGGGTGTACACTTGCCACAGTGAGGGAAGATGTTTTTCTGCAGATAGGCAGTATGGAAGTTTTAGGTGTAGACCAGGCCTAAATTAGACACAACACAATGAGGAAGGATAGTGAATGGAGGTTAGAAATCAATGACAACTCAATTACTTGCTGTCTTATGATTAGCTTTCACCATATGCATCAAAGTTATAGAGGTTATGGCATTGCCTTATGATGTTCAGTAAGACTTCTGAGTCTAAACTATTCCTCCTCTTAATGGGCACAATCATAAACTCAAACCTCTGAATGTCTCAGAATGGGGCATGTTCCAGCCTGGGGTATTTTTCCAAAGTTAGTGAAATGGAGCAAGCTATGCATATGTGGCATTCAGTATTGTAACTGATACTTCAGCCTAATTCTTTTCCAAATGTGGCTCAGGCACCTGTTCCTCATTCAGGACTATGGGTATGCTGGGCTTGAAAGTACAAGAAATGTTGTACCAAAAACAGGTACAGAGGATATGTGTTTCTTGAACAAAGTTAAAAAGTCTTGGAAAACTGTGGTTTAGTTTGAAAGCGTAACCTCAACCTTTGCTGTGGAATCAGCCCCATGACTTTATGGTAAAGTGGCGACGCTATCACATACCACAGTGAAGCTGTGGGTCACCACTTTGCTCTTTGCACAATGTTGCACTATTCAGAAAAACACCATGTTAGGCTCAACAAGTGACAGGATACAGAGCCTCAAGCTCCATAGGACATTGGGACAGAAGGAATCATGGACAACTGTTTGCATCACATACCCTTGCCAGTGCTTCCTCAATGGTGATCATCTTCTCTTTGACCATCATCATCAGCTGGATCCGTTCTTCATCGCTCATTGTGATCTCACTTGCCACATAACCAACATCCTCTCCTAAAGAGAAAAGGAAGAGATGAAACACATCTCCACAAGAATTCAGCACTGAAAGGCAAGTGTTTGGACACACACTTTGGTGAGGCTGCTTCTGTCCCAGAACCCAGTTTGGTCAGACTAGGCTGGATGGACCCTTCCTATACAGCCGGTCCCCGAGTTACGAACAAGTTATGGAACAACACTTGGTCTGTAACTCGAAGTGTTCGTAACTCAGATCACATAGGATTACATGGCGACCGCGCTGTTCGTAAGAGCGGATTGCCGTTTGTAACTCGGATCCGAATTTACGACCGCTTTGGTCATAAGTGCGGATGGTCATGTATACCACAATTTGATCAGTGTAGGCAAAAACCCTTTCCAACCTTGTGACTGATCCTGCACCACGCAGAGAGGATGCAGTGTAACATAGTACCTGCAGGCTGCCACTTTCGTTCCACTGGAAAATACAAGAAAGAAGGCATCTCTACTCTTTCAGAGTGATGGAGATAGGTGCCCTCGCCTACAGTAAACGATCTACTTTATGTGTTGAAATGAGCAGAGTTTGGTAAGAAAGCAAGCAGATGTGGTCAAAATCATCATGTGCATGTGTATACACACACCACTGACTGGGACTACATTTGAAAGTGACCAGAGCAGCAAAGGAGCTGCTAATGTAGCAACCTGCCTTGATAACTTGCTTCTGAAGGTATTTTTTTACATCCTAAAACAGAGTCCTGCTATCTTTAACATACTTTTGCCACACTCATACTGCCTCCTCAGCAGTCTGGGGAGGCTTCTGTTTGCAATACAGCAATCCAACAGGAGAGAGTATGTTTGCAGGCATCTTCCCACTCCCACATTTGCATGACAGCCTCACTGCACCCGAGTGACTCTTTAAGCTAGTGGAGAACTATGCTCAGCATCCACTTGCAGCAGAACTTGGAAAGCAGCCCTGATAACCTAACGGGTAGGTTCATCTTCTGTGTTTTTTGCAGGCAGATATCTTTCATCCCTCCTAAACTTGCAGATTGGCCCTGTGCAACTCCACGCTGAGCTCAGCCTTAAACCTAACCGGAGAAGGCACTACAGAGCCAAACCAGGGTGGAACCTCTTGCTAACTATTCCATAAACAAACACACCAGCCATAAGAATAAACCATAGCAAATGTAGCCAATACATACAAAGTATCTTTAGCTCCCCTATTTACATGCCAGATACAACCCATCTTAAATGTACAGCTTTATTCAAGGTTCAGTGGTAGAAACATTCTGAACCTCCACACTTGTGAACTGCAACATCCCCCCCCTTAGATCTGAGAGGATGATCCATATTGGTCCATTTAGGGATGTTAGATATCAGGTAATAGAATAGTTGAGTATCCACAAGAATTCTTATCAGTTGACTATTCTATAATCCCTGGAGGTGCGGCTGGCAGTCAGTGCACTTCAGCCCCACTCCCGAGGAGCCCCCTTTCATCCCAGCTGCTGCCTCCGTGCCAGCTGGAGGTTGATCCACGAGGGGAGCCAGTTTAAAAAACAGTTTAAAAACTGCAAAGAAGGCAGCAGTGCAGGGTAGCAGCAGCCCCTCTCCATGGGGAGGGGTGTGTGTGTCTGAGCTCCCCACAGACAGAGGCTGCTGTGGGAGGGGAGGCTGCCACGAAGCAGCCTCTGTCCATGGCAGCACGGGCTGGCCGCGGACAGAGGCTGGTCTGGCAGGAACCCCCATCCGCACGGGGTCCCAGCCTCTGCCCAAGCAGGTCCCAGCCTCACTGTGGAGAGAGGCTGTCCCCCCAGCACCAACTCCTGCTCCACCCCCCTTATTGCCTCTGATAAAGAGGCAGCAAAAGGAGTAGGGAAATGCAAGTAGGCGAGAAGATTAACCGATAAGCCTAGGCTTATCGGTTAATTGTATACTCAGCTACTCATTTACATCCTGAAGTCCATTTACTATAATATTGTTCTAGTTTTTGTTTTGTGATACTTATTTCTTGGACTTCAAGGAGTTACTGAAAGTCATTTTTAGTGCAGTGCATCATTGTGTTCTTAAAGACTTTACCTTTCGAAGCCTGTCTCATTATTCCTTTCTGGTTCTTTCGGAAATTCTGCCAAAAATACTTATTCTTCTTTTTCCAGTCTGCTCTCCCTTAAGAATAAATTACAAGAAAGGAACATTAATATGAAAATTAGATTTTCCTCTTTGAAAACTTCAACTTGTAACCTCACCAAGAAAAATTTCCCAAATTTGCTCTTTCTCTGAATTTGCTCGGTACAAGAATTGAGCTAATCTAGCCATCTAAAAGAAATGTACATTCTTTGGGAGCAAGACTGATGGTGGAAGATTGAGATATGTTACCAAGAAGCATTTTTTAATTATAAAACATAGACCTTGTTGTGTACATATTGGCATTTGTTTAACTGTTCACATCAAGCCTGGCTGTATTTTTATAGCATTTTTTAAATTCTTTTAAGCTGAGGCACAATTATTTAGATGAAACCCCAAATCAGATAAGGAATGTTATTTTATTACATATTCCCTTTGCTGATCTTCATGAGAAATACTATGAGAACATTAACTACACATATGGCTCCTGCCATTTATTTGTTTTTTAGTTTTCTCAGTTTAAATCGAGTGAGTGTAGCCTTCAAGGGAATAAAAACCAAATGCCCTCAGCAAAAATCTCAGGATTTTATAGGTCTAGATAACTTAGTACAAGAGAGTTCGTTACATGAGCGAATTGCGAGAGGGCAGTCTGAAAAATAACGTTTGAGTTAAAAATACACCATTTAACAACAACACAAAGTTACTCAAAAATTAAGGAAAGAGACTGGTAAATTATGCCAAATGATATAAAAGATAGTTTGTGTGGGAGGCTCAAAAAAGGTAAATGGAAAAAGTGCCAATGATCTAATATCCTAGGATCTGCAACTTGGGGGGGAAAGTCGCAAGATGGGTATTTAGAAAAGAACAGTATTAGCTAGACTGGCTCTGTCTGCCACTTGTAGATGCTGCCCCTCATTTTTAGCGCATAACCTCTCCCCCACCACCGTCTCCCCCCCCTCTCCCCCCCCCC